TCTCGGCCTGCTGGGGCCCGGGGGGACGGCTCTCGGCCTGCTGGGGCCCGGGGGGGGCGGCTCTCGGCCTGCTGGGGCCCGGGGGCAGGCGGCTCTCGGCCTGCTGGGACCCCAGGGAAGGCTCTCGGCCTGCTGGGACCCGGGGGGGGGGGTGACTCTGGGCCTGCTGGGGCCCCGGGGGACGGCTCTGGGCCTGCTGGGACCCCGGGGGACGGCTCTCGGCCTGCTGGGACCCTGAGGGACAGCTCTGGGCCTGCTGCTGGGACCCAGAGGGATGGCTCTGGGCCTGCTGGGACCCTGGGGGGCGGCTCTCGGCCTGCTGGGACCCTGAGGGGCGGCTCTCGGCCTGCTGGGGCCCGGGGGACGGCTCTGGGCCTGCTGGGACCCCGGGGGACGGCTCTGGGCCTGCTGGGGCCTGGGGAGGGGTGACTCTGGGCCTGCTGGGACCTGGGGGGGGGGCGGCTCTCGGCCTGCTGGGACCCGGGGGGGGCGGTTCTGGGCCTGCTGGGGCCCGGGGGGGCGGCTCTCGGCCTGCTGGGACCCCGAGGGATGGCTCTCAGCCTGCTGGGACCCCGAGGGACAGCTCTGGGCCTGCTGCTGGGACCCAGAGGGATGGCTCTGGGCCTGCTGGGACCCTGGGGGACGGCTCTGGGCCTGCTGGGACCCGGGGGGGGCGGCTCTCGGCCTGCTGGGGCCCGGGGGGACGGCTCTCGGCCTGCTGGGACCCCGAGGGATGGCTCTGGGCCTGCTGGGCCCTGGGCGCCACCTGCCTGCTTGCTGCCCCCAGTGGATCATGGACGTGCTGGTGTGCAACGGGCTGGGCATCTACTGCGGCATGAAGACGCTCGAGTGGCTCTCCCTGAAGACGTACAAGTGGCAGGGCCTCTGGAACATCCCCACCTACAGGTAGGCTGCCGGGCTTCTGCCCGCCGGACCGTGCACTCCTGGAGGCCCGGGGTCGCCCCCAGCGCTGTCCTGGTGGGGATGGTGGGGGCTCCCGGGGGCGCGGGCAGCCCACTCTGCTGCCCCAGCTGCCCGGCTGTGTGGTCCCCAGGGGCAAGATGAAGCGGATCGCCTTCCAGTTCACGCCTTACAGCTGGGTGCGCTTCGAGTGGAGGCCGGCGTCCAGCCTGCGGCGCTGGCTGGCCGTGTGCGGCATCATCCTCGTGGTAAGGCCGCTGCCCCGCCCTTGCTTGGGTGCCCGCCGCGGGCACGAGCACCTGCTCACCCTCTGCCCCCCTAGTTCCTGCTGGCCGAGCTGAACACCTTCTACCTGAAGTTCGTGCTCTGGATGCCGCCCGAGCACTTCCTGGTGCTGCTGCGCCTCGTCTTCCTGGTCAACGTGGGCGGCGTGGCCATGCGCGAGATCTACGACTTCCTGGACGACCAGTGAGGGCGGGGCCGGGCGGGGCTGCGGTGGGCGTGGTTGTGAGCAAGGTGGACTGACTGGACGCCCTGTGAGGGCGGGGCCGGGAGCCGGGGGCACCCAGCCAGTTGTCGCCTCCCGTAGGAAGCCGCACAGGAAGCTGGGCCAGCAGGCCTGGCTGGTGGCGGCCATCACGGCCACGGAGCTGCTCATCGTGGTGAAGTATGACCCGCACACGCTGACCCTGTCGCTGCCCTTCTACATCTCCCAGTGCTGGACGCTCGGCTCCGTCCTGGTGCTCACCTGGACCGTCTGGCGCTTCTTCCTGCGGTGAGCGCAGTGGGGCCGGCCGCCGGGACTGGCTCTGGGCGGGGTCTGTCAGGAGTGAGTGGCAGGTGGAGACTCGGTCCCCAGGGTGGTGACGTGGCTGTGCTGCCCGCAGGGACATCACCTTGAGGTACAAGGAGACGCGGCGGCAGAAGCAGCAGAGCGACCCGGGCAGCACCGCGGGCAGCGAGGACGGCCCCCTGGAGCTGGACGAGGAGCTGTCTGGGCCCGCCGGCGGGCAGCCGCAGACAGACCTGCCGTCGGCCACCTCCTGAGCCCCCCAGGCCTCGGCCTCGGCCTCAGGGCTGCTCTGTACTGGCCTGCGGCTTTGCCCTCGTGTGTGTGCACACGTGCTGTGTGGCGTGGCCTGAGCAGGGGCTGCTGAGATGTTCCGGGCCGATGAGGGCGGCGGCTGCGGGGCTGGGGTCCTGCCCCCCGGTGTTGGGGCTGTGCAGTCCTCCTTCCAGTCCAGACCCCTGGGCACAGGCTCGTGGTCAGCCAGGCAGGGCAGGTGCAGGGAGCCCAGCCCGGGATGTCTTGGCTTTACCGTGAGAGTTGAGGGGCTGGGCCACCGTGCCCCACGTGAGCACAGGTTCTGGTGCAGCGCCTGGAAGAGCTGGAGACGGCGCAGGTCCCTGGGCCCCAGCACCCGCCTGGGGGACTCGAGGAAGCCCCTTGCTCTGGCCCGGCCCAGCCCTGGCTGTTGTGGCCGTTTGGGGAGTGACCCAGCAGATGGAACCTTGTTTCCCTGTCACTCTGCTCTTGAAATAAATACTTAAAAAGGAGGAAGGAGTTTCTTCAGGACCTATGGGCCCCCAGGCTCCGCCTCCTGCAGGGGCCAGACCACCTGCCCTGGTCCCCAGGGCACGCACTGCCCTTGACCTCTGCACGGTGGTCTCCCCACTGCCCTGCCTGGATGGGCCCAGGCTCAGACTGACCACTGCCTGCCCCGTCTGGCATCGCCTATTGCTCAAGGAGCCCTGGGACCTGAGTGGGGTCCGCCCAGACACAGGCCCAGGGGAGGCTAACACCGCAGCTGCCCGGCACGCCCAGGGCTGCGCTGCGGGCGGCAGGTCAAGGTCTGAGCTGCAGAGACAGCCTGGCCCTGGACCGGAACCCCCACCTGCCCAGACCAGCGACACCCGTGCTGCACCTGTGCCTGGCGGGTGGTGCGCAGTGGCCCCGCCTCCCCCTCTGGAGGCCAGGATGCAGCCCCAATTTCCGCCTCTGGCTCCAGCACGGGACTTTGACATTCATTCGGGTGGTGAACCAACAACGGGAACTGGAAGTCTCTGCTTATGAAGTCTCTTCAGGAGGGGCCCAAAGCCGCCACCTGCAGCGCCAGCATCCCATAGGAGCACCGGTTCTAGTCCCAGCTGCTCCTCTTCCCATCCAGCTCTCAGCTGTGGCCTGGGAAGGCAGTGGAGGATGCCTGAGTGCTTGGGCCCTGCACCCGCACGGGAGACCCCGAGGAGGCTCCTGGCTCCGGATTGGCGCAGCTCCGGCCGTTGCGGCAGTTGGGGAGTGAACCAGCAGGTGGAAGACCTCTCTGCCTCTCTGTAACTCTGCCTTTCGAACTAAATAAATGAATCTTTAAAAAAAATCTTCAGAAACATCAGCGGGAAGGAACGCCCGTGCAGCTGACACTGAGCTGCGTGCTCGCGCTGGCTGCCCGGCCCTTGGGCAGCACTGGACTTGGCTTGTCCAGCTCACGGCCACCAGCACTGGGGTGGGGCTCACCGGGGCTGTGTGCAAATGTATTTGAAAGCCATAAGGAGAGACCTCCATCTGCTAGTTCACTGTGCAGACGGCTGAAGCCCGGAGCTCCATCCGGGTCTCCCGCGTGGGTGCGGGGCCCAGGCTCGTGGGGCAGCTCTGCTGCTTTCCCAGGCCGTCACCAGGGGGCTGGGTCGGAGGTGGGGCAGCGCCTCTGTGGGGTGCCCAAGCTACAGGGGACGGCTCAGCCCCGGCCTCTGTCACGAGGTGTGAGGGTGACAGGGGAGCTCCACACCCTGTCCTGGCCAAGTGGGGTGGCCCCCGGGAGCCCCGAACTAGCAGCAGTGTGGCCGGTGCAGCACCCAACACTCCCCACAGACACACAGGGCAGCACAAGGGCTTTAATGGCATTGGCTACAGCGCGGGGTGGGCGGGGCTCAGCAGATGACGCGCAGGGCCGGCCGGGCCTTCTCCAGGGCCTGTAGCTGCTCCTCCATCTCCTGCGTCCAGTAAATGTCGTACAGTCTGCAGCAGAAGGGGAGGGGCTTGGGTCTGGGGTCTGCTCCTGCCCCCACCCCCCCCGCGCCCCGCTGCTCACATGAGGTACTGGAGGGTGCAGGCCGGCTGCCGGGCGCTGTCCAGGAGCTGCAGCAGCCCCGGGTCCCCCATGCAGTTGTTGCTGAGGTCCAGCTTCTGCAGGCTGGGGCTGACCAGCAGGACCGAGGCCAGGCTGCCACAGCCGCCTGTCACTCACAGTCACAGTCCCCCAGGCTGGTGAGAGCAAGGCAGGGGTCAGGACCCACAGGGGCTGCGACCCCTGAGACACCTGCATGGGGCAGCCTGGGCCCCCGACGTCCTGGCCCCGGGCACTCAGAGCCTCGGAGAGGTGGGCAGACGGACTCAGGAGCAGCAGCGGCGGCCCAGGAAGGTCCCTGTGGTGCACACCAGGCTCCCAGGGTGCCTCGGTCCTGTCAGCCGGCCTGGACACAAAGTGGGGCCACGGCCACGGGGGACCTGGAGGGGCTTCTGGCCCCACGCCTAGCCCAGGACAGAGCCGAGGCCAGGGTGTCCGAGGGAGGGAGTGAGGGCATGCTCTGGACGTGTGCAGGATGTGGGGCAGGACCAGAGGCCATTGCTGGGTCCTGTGGGGGGCAAAGTCACAGAAGCACCAGGGACGCAGCAGAGTGAGCCAAGGCCCATATCCCTGCAGAAGCACCCGGAACCTCTGGGCGCGGGAGTCAGAGGTCGCAGGAGCTGCCAGGGCACAGGGCTGAGGACGCCGGCGTCCCCGCGGCAGTGCCTGGGTGCTGTCCTGGCTCCAGCCTCCTGACAACGCTCCCCGGGAGGCTGCCGTGAGGGCTCAGGTTCTTGTGCACCTGCCGCCCACGCGGGGGACCAGAGTCCCGGGCATCGGGGAAGTGGGCCGGCAGGTGGGAGCTCGCTCCACCTTTCTCCCCGGCCCTGTCTCCAGATGCGAGGGGAACAGAGGGACGTGTCCGCACTCACCAGAGCACCTGCAGCACGCAGCCCGGCTGGCGCAGGCCCTGGCACAGCCCCTGCACGCCCGCGTCCCCCAGCTGGTTGCTGCTCAGCTGCAGCTCCAGGAGAGACCGGTTCTGGCCCAGCACGGAGCCGAAGTGGGGGCAGCAGGCGGCCGTCAGGTTGCAAGACTTTACCCTGCGGGAAGGGGGCGCTGCAGGGTGCCGGCCACTCTGCGGGGGGGGTGTCCCAGGGCCCCACGCTCCACCCCACCCCCGCCGCGCCGCGCCGTGCGCCCGGGGCCGCTGCTGCTCACCACAGCGACTGCAGGCGGCAGCTGGGCTCCAGCAGGGCCTCGCACAGCAGCCGGGCCCCCTCGTCCCCCAGCGCGTTCCCGGCCACGCTGAGCTCCTTCAGGCTGTCCTTGGCTTTCAGCAGGCCGCTCAGGTCACGGCAGCCCTCGGCGGTGAGGCCGCAGTCCCAGAGCCTGCAGGACGGGACGGACGCTGTCTCCGGGCGCCCCGCGCCCCCGCCGTGCCCGGCCCCGGCCCCCCACCACGCCGTGCGGGACTCACCACAGGGTCTGCAGCCGCGAGCCCGGCTGCTGCAGGCCGGGGCACAGCGCGGCCAGCCCCGCGTCGCCCAGCGGGTTGTCGCCCAGGTGCAGCTCCTGCAGCGTGGCCGTGCCCGCCACGGCCTCCGCCAGCTCCCTGCAGTTGGCCGTCGTGACGCCACAGCTCTCCAGCCTGGGGAGAGGGTGCGCGTGAGGGCCCGCGCCCCACCCGCGCCCCAAGCCCCGCGCCCGCGTCCCGCGTCCCGCACCGTACTTGAGCACCTCCAGCTGGGAGGCCGAGTCCTTCAGGCCCTGGCACAGCGCGCGGACGCCGGCTTCCCCAAGGTCATTGTTGCTCAGCGCCAGCTCCTTGAGGCCGGGCTTGGCCCGCAGCACGGAGGCCAGGGCCTCGCAGCTGGCGGCCGACAGCTTGCAGTACTCCAGCCTGGGGGAAGGCCTCGCGCTGGGCGCAGGGCTGCAGCCCCCGGCCCAGCCCGCCCTGCCCCCCCCGTGCTGACCGCGAGCACCCAGGGCCTCCCCATGCCGGGCTCCGCGCGCAGGGGGCGGCCCAGGAGGGCGGCGGGCGTCACCTCAGCCTCTCCACGCAGCACTGCGCATCCAGCAGTCCCTGGCAGAGCAGCCGCAGGCCCGCGTCCCCCAGGGCGTTGTCGCTGAGCTGCAGCTCCCGCAGGCTGGGCATGGCGCGGAGGGCGCTGGGCAGGACCCCGCAGCCAGCCTCGGTCAGGCAGCAGGTCTGCAGGCTGCAGCGGGCAGGCGGGGCCGTCAGGGCTGCCCCCAGGCTGCGCCCGAGCCGCCCCGGCCCTGCCCCAGGCTGCCCCCAGCCGCCCCGCCCCCGCCCCAGGCTGCGCCCAGCCGCCCCCGCCCCTGCCCCAGGCTGCCCCCAGCCGCCCCCGCCCCAGGCTGTGCCCAGCCGCCCAGCCCCTGCCCCAGGCTGCGCCCAGCCGCCCCCTCTCCCAGGCTGCCCCCAGCCGCCCCCGCCCCAGGCTGCCCCCAGCCGCCCAGCCCCTGCCCCAGGCTGCGCCCAGCCGCCCCCTGCCCAGGCTGTGCCCAGCCGCCCCCTGCCCCAGGCTGTGCCCGAGCCGCCCGGCCCCTGCCCCAGGCTGCGCCCAGCCGCCCTCCAGCACCTGAGCTTCCGCAGCTGGCAGCCGGGGCTCTGCAGGCCCTGCAGCACCAGGCCCACGCCCGCGTCCCCCAGCTCGTTGAGGTCCAGGCTGAGCTCGGTCAGGGCAGGGTTGGCCTGCAGGGCGGTGCTCACATCCCGGCACCGGGGCTCGGTGAGGCCACAGTCCTCAATCCTGCGGGCGGGGCCCGGTCAGCATGCGTCCAGGGGCTTGGGGGCCCCTACCCCACAGGCACCCCCAAGGGAACGGACACGGGAGAGGCGGAGCCAGCACCACCATCCCCCCACCGGCTCCAAGGAGGGCGGGAGGTCCTGCGGGGCAAACACCTTGGAGATGACCGGTGGCAGCCTCCCGGGGCAGATGGTGTCCCCAGCTGCCACTGTCCCCTCCTGAGCACCCCTGGGAGAGCCCAGGAAGAGAAGCGGGATGAAGTCGCCCGGGGAGGGAGCAGAGGGCCCCCTGGGGACCCTGGGGGAGCAGCCAAGCTCCAAGTGGCAGCGGGCTGAGCTGTGGGCAGTGGGGCGGCCGGGCCGAGAGGCCTTGTTGGGGCAGGCTCCGGCACCGGGCAGGGCCCACACTGTCCTCCCAACTCTTCCAAGTCTAAGATGGCTTCAGATTTGCCAGAGGAAAACCAGGACGGCAGGCACCGGGGCCGCGAGAGCCGCTGCACGGGGACAGGCTGGGTCCCGGGCCCTGACCGCCCCCGGGTCCTCAGCCCTGCCCAAGCCGCCGCGGGATTCTTGTATTTTTAAATGGCTGAAAAACCCCTAAGAGTCACAAGTGACCGGCTGCCAGGGCCGGGGCCGCGGTGAGCCACGTGGGCGCTGGCTCCACTTCCGACCCAGCTCCCTGCTGTGGCCTGGGAAGGCAGAGGAAGATGGCCCAGGCCCTTGGG